CTGGTATCTACTTGAAAGACTCCTCGATGGAAACTTATGCATTGAGTTTGCTGAACAGTTTAACGTCAGTCTTGCAACCACCGTTGAATTCCTCGACCAGGTTGATGTAAACAGGGTTTATGGTGTGTTCATGTAAGGCCTTTTGTCACAGCTGTCAGTTCTACCGAATCGAACTCATGTAGCCAGTGAAAGCAAAACATAATGTCACTTGATATATGTCAAGTATGCTTATTCGTCACAGCTGCTGAATGACAAGCAAACGGTCGAGGGTAGGAAAATCTGGCCTGCTTCTGGCTTATGACTATTACAAGGTCCTTCTGAGGCAGTTGAGAATTATGCGAGTGAAGACTGTACATTTGAGTCAGGACTGTAATTGGTCGAGAGGTCTTGACGTCTTCGGAAACGCATTTCTTCATGAGAAGAATCGTTCTTAATGTCTTCCACAATTTGCGCATCCTGTTTTGTCTGACTGACTCCGTAAAGCGTTTGGCAATCACTTTCAGCATGTGCTTCCTTCTGGTTTTAGGGTGTTCTGGTCTTATGTCGTTTTAGTCTGGATATCTTCCATTTTTATTGTCTGATTGCCCACTCAAGTTCATCCCGGGTGAACTTCGATGACGACTTCCAGAGCATTGTGTGACAGCTTCGATTTCACGAGTAAAGGCTTTGTGCACATCGCGTTCATCCGATTACGATTAGAGTTTCTTGCTCCTCCTCTTCCAGCGTACTCGGAATCCGTTATTTTACCTCGTTCCACGACTTGCAGCCTTTTCTTCCGCTTCCAGTTTCTTTTAATTGCATTTTCCTGCAATTTTCTCAGTCCTGTCGACTTTTCCCGTATCTCGGTGCACTGATCATTGCACCTTCGTCCTTCAGTTGTGCGCTTCTAACCATTAGCTGCCTAGTTGAAAAGTTGATGAGTTGGTTTCTGGTCGACCTATCCGACTTGATGTTCCAACAAAAGAACCGATAGTACTGATAAAATGGTCATAATGTGCATCTACACCCTTGCTCATGTCAATTTCAATGTTCGTTAATGGCAGCCTCCGGATCGAATCGTAGTTCTGTACAAAGCGACGATGTTTGGGATCTTCCAATCTGCTTCTCTTTTGCGACATCGATCGTGATTGTTTCAGGCAAAAGCGTGTGCTATGACCATGTACGCATGATTTCCTCGCCTATCACCCAAGTGTTTGATATTATTCATTTCTTTTCTGTCAGTACATAATCGATTTGGTTCAGAGGCTTCCCATCTGGGCTTCTTCATATTCACTGTTGCTTTGAAGCTTCCTGGAAATGGTGTTCATGACGTTGAGGTAGTTGCTTATAGCGAAAGTTTCAAAACTCTGTTCACGCTCATTGCGCAGTTTCCGTATTTCCAGATAAACGCTTCATTCAGGTGTCGATTATCTTTTTCCGACGATTGCGTTTCACTCTCCTTGGGACGCACTTTTATCCACTGACCCTTTGAATTCCTCATGAAATTATTCGATCTTTTTGTCCAGCTTGTTGGGTTGATCTATAAGCTGGGACTATTGATTATTATGCTTCTTCTGTCCATCTGTAGAAGTAAATCTGCAATGAGAGGTGATATGATATCAAACCCAAGTACACACGAAAATGCGGTTTCTTTTGAATACGAACCCAACGCCGTTGGTTCACGTCCAGTTCTCGAAGATTTTGCCGAAAAAGACTTGCCCACCGTTGTTCAATGGCACAGCAAGTTCGGTAGATCTTTAGGCCCCGCGTATTTCAATGACGTCGAACTTGATCTTCTCAATTTCCATGAAGTAGCCATCGATGAATGCGTCTGTGGAAAGCGCTGTTGCTTCGTGACTAGCCACAGCAATCTTGATCACGTTTCGGAGTCTTTTACCAATCACGTCCTATCGTTCATCGAGTCGTAACCAGATCCCGTGCAACAAATTATGGGCGTGCCTGAAAACAGGATGGATGTCCAGTCACTATATTGCAACATTCAGCAACGACCGGCTGTAACGAAGCGGAAGCAATCAGACCCCCCTCCCTGCTTCCAGCACATCACCTTAAACGTGGGCCGAACAAATGAAAGCACTTGCTTACCCCGCCTCCCCCCTGCAGCTAGACAAGAGCTCATGTTGAGCTGGAAACGTAGCTAGAGGGTCAGGCGAATTTGTCATCCAGGATGAAAAAAGAATCCGCATTGGAAAAGAGACACTAGTATGAAGTATCATGATATCTCGCGTAGGTAATTGTTGCTTTTTGTATGTGTGTTGTACCATGTATTAAAGCCTTTTGGCCAGGTTCGGCGTTCTGTTTGCTAGCGCCTCGGCAGGTTAAAATATAGCGATAGCAGGTGCTGCGTCCAACTGACTAGCGAAGCGTTCAAGCGTCGGAGCTGATTTCCACCAAGGCTGCGCTCTGCTCCTTCTTCTGTTTTTGTTGTATTTGGAAAGGGTATTCAAGCACAGCCATTGCGACGGGTATGTCAGCGTAGGAGATGTATGGATTTAAAGGTGTCTGTTTGCAGACGACCTTGTTTTGATGATATCTTCGGAAACTGATTTCCAGCGTTGTCTGGAATGGTTAGCAGTGTAGTGCATCGTAGTAGGGCAGACTGAAGCAAAATTTTCAGCACGTTAAAAAATCACATGCAATAGGACTGTTTCAATTAGTATAGCGCCCTTTCCATTGTTAGTCATAAAGTTTCTTTATTTCAGCAAATTCAGTGATTGAGTTATAACATTCTCGAGGAATAGGAGTGCACT